TTATATAGTCAGAGATAGACTTGTCTATGACTAGACTTGTAGTCCTACTCTGGCTACCTGAGATCACTCCTCTATATGAAAATATCAGATGAACAATACGCATGAGTATTTTGCCGAAAGTGGTATGAGTACCCAACAATACCCAAGCATGAGTACTCAAAGTCGTACTCAGAGTACTTGTTACTCACTTATGAGTACTCACACTTGAGTACATTCACTAGGGTGTGCAGAAATCTCAGAATGAAAATGCACACAAAGGTTGAGTTATCATGTGAGTTCTCTCAAGATCGCTTTGCCATTTGAGTCTCTCAGAATGTAGCAACGATCATTTCGATCCTGTTTGACGCACAGAGGATAGCGGCACAGTCAGAGCACCTCAATCACAAGACGCTAGATTGGCTCTAGCAACGAACTGGTCAGAGTGTCAAGTATCTGCAGATACACATTCACTGGAAGTCCAAGCGTGAATATTTTCTTCGCATACGGCAAACGTTACCTTATTGGCACAACTCACAGATGAAACACAAAGACAGCTGCTCTCACCTCTATTCTGAGATCCAATGCCAGTAACGTTTCGAATTAGAACTGAAAAATACACCGATGAAGAACCTAAAGATACATCTGAGATGAAATATCTCACCGGCAAAAACAATATCCCACTTTAGATGAGCAAATTAATAATAGTTCAACTTTGTGACATTGAAATGAAATGGAGTTTATGACTCAAAACAAAGAAAATATATTGCTGTGTACTCTGTAGATGGTATTCTACGAGAAAATCTCTAATTACTTCATGTTCTCGAAGAAAATACCGAGTAAAACATGATGAAATTTGATGAAAAAGAGATTAAACCATTGAAAGAACGTAGTGACAATCAGATAAGTGGCAGGAAACCTTGTTCAGCCTTCCTGCAACCTGGTTCTAATCACATCGGGATCTTGATACGCTCTTGTCCGGATCCCGTTTTAATCCCGCCGCAATCAGGATTTCACCGTGATTCCGTCAAAAAATTTTCGCGTCAAGATTGTTAAATTTTCGTTACACGGGAAAAATAGCAAGATTAGAAACGATTGCGGTATCGAGCCCGCGTTAAGTTTCAAATTTCTTGTCAAAATTGCGGCAAGATGAGGCTGTAATGAAGCGGGAATGCTACTAGGAATTAGTTTGAAAAGGTGTGCTTCCGTCATTCAGCTATAGATTTCTACTTCCGCACAGGTCCGCCCAGTATTACATGAGCTAAAAGCCGGGAAGATTTGACTATATGCAATCGATAGTCCGGGAATATAGAGCATGAGAGTCTCCAATCAAATTTTCTAAAAGTTTTCGAAACTCGTAAAAAGCTTAGAATAATGATTCTTTTTGGCTTTACAACAGTTAACTAACTAGTGCTCTAGAGTACTCAACAATTGAGAACACGAGTTTTAGACTGTCTTTATATCTATAACTTATGGCCGAGGAAAAACCGTGTTCGGAATAATTTTTTCATGGGAGCGTCAGGGCCTTTACATACCTTTAGTAGGACTATCGATTGCATATAGTCAAACCTTCCCGGCTTTAAGTCGTGTATAAAGTGGGCGGACCCTGTGCGGAAGTACCCTGTAGTTAAAACAAATATGAAATTTCTTTATCTATTTAAATTTTAGTAGTTAACCAAACAATATGATTATGCAAAATTAAATTTAACCGATTATTGTCAAACAGTCAGTAATTGTATTGTCAATAGTTGAATGTATAATACGCTTCAAGACGTGTTTGGTATAGCGATGATTCATTAATATTTTTTCCAATAATATATCCTTCTATATATGTTATAGCTGACACACGATCATTGAAATATTGACAATACTCTCAATGTGTTGATACACAGTGGCCTCCAGGTGAACATTTAGCAAAAGATCGAAAATGCATTTTTTCAAAATTCAAATAGTTATAAATATACTTCGATTGACGAACTATTTCATCGTATAAAACTTTTCATTTTAAATGCGCTAATTTTTGGAAACAATATATCAACAAATAAAATAGGATAAAAACTAGTGATCTTTGGGGAAAATATTTTTTTTCTAACAGACTAAGTCGTTTTAAGTTCAAAAACCGTACATATTATAAATCTAGACATCGTTAGTTAATCCTTCGCTACATCTTCCTCAGGGATTTTTCATTTAGTGAGCCAAATACAACATGTATACGTTGATATTCCAGAGAGCATACATCCATATCTTCCTGCTATCATCAATCAACAGATCCTTGTGACTAAAAAGATTTTAGTTCTACGTCACGCTCAGCTATCAGTTGTAGTTGAAAAATATTTCAAACCGTAATCTTTAATTGCAGATTTTTCTTTATCTGTTCACTGATCCATGAAATTAACAAGGTTTGTAAACACAAAGCGTCTTTATGAGGGATATTTTCTCTCTACATTTATTACCTATTATACAGAGAGAGTGATTCTATCTTCAAAAATATGCATTCATTAGTTTTTCTATTGAGTCCTGTTTATTAAGTGTACTTAGAAAAAAACACATAATTTTGCATGCCGATTATTTTTTTAACACTAAACGAGTTTGCCTTTCGTAGTTGCTTTAATTTCGCTAATAAACAATACTGCTTTGGAAAGAACAATCCAGCCAGTATTGTCGCATAAAAAGAGTACGAGAAGGTACCATTATTTCTACCATCATGGATATTGCTCTACGATATCATTCGTTATCATTTGTTTTTCAGATCTGTGAATACTGTAATCAATAATATGGGCAATTATATAAGCTGGTTAATCGACATGGGTAGTAGATATCTACTAGGAACAGCTCCAAAACCGATTAAACCAAAAATTTTGAGTAATACGAGGCTGGATAAATTAGCTCAAATAACTGGATTAAAGAAAGAACAAGTCAAAGAGTGGCATGAAGGTTTTATTGTATGTTTATTTTACGTATATTAACGCTTCTATAACATATATCATTTTTTTCTAGAAAGATTGTCCTGCAGGAAAATTGAACAAAAAAAAATTTATTGAAGTTTATAAAGTAAGTTTTTATCTAACGTTTTTTTTCTCAGAAATTAGCATTTTAAAAATTAATAATTTTCATTATGTGTAAATATACGTCTGTTTTAGCAATTTTTCCCAACAGCTAATTCTGAAAAGTTTTCCGAATATGTTTTCAAGTAATATGTGCACTCAGAAAACTAAGTAGTCTAAAACTAAATAATGTATTTCTAGGACATTTGACACTGACGGATCAGGAGAAGTGGGTAAGTTCTTTCAAATAAATGTTTAGTTTAATCTTTTCCTTTGAATCTTTATTTCTAGACTTTGATGAGTTTCTTATTGCTATAAGTCTGACAGCAAAACGAGATCCGAAACAAAAGCTAGAGTGGGCCTTCTCTATGTATGGTAAGTGTCTCTCCAAGTCAAATCTCTCTATCAAAAATATTTAGATGCATTCGCTGACGCATCTAGCAATAATCTAGTGATAACAGTACCTGCATTAATGAGTAAAAATGCAATCTAGTTATTTATGTGCATGTAGTAATAAGGATGTGCTAGATAAAATCAGCTATACAATAAATTAATAGTCGAAGAATATCGAAGTATTATATACGATATTTCACACGATATATTAACAGTAATCGATTTTCGTCCACAACTTTTTGATTTAGTTAAGCCCAATCACTGTATGTAAATGCAATCAGGCGTGAAGGATAAAAAAAACATCACAAAATCAGCAATATTTAAACTAATAAGGAAGAGGTCGAATGAGGATAAACCTACTTCCGATTTAAAAGAATCCTCAACGGTGATTGGGCTTAACTAAATCAAAAAGTTGTGGACGAAA